GCTGCAGGCCAGCTCATTCACCACACCTGCCTGGCACGGAACCTCCCTGTTGATTTGCTTCCTGTAATATTACTGTAAAAAACCAATATTCCTTCTAACCAATAGGCTTTTGGGATGCCTGTCATTTAAAGGTTTGGTTTTTAATTTGGCGGCTGAAGATATCCGTAGTCTCGTAGGCACAGAGCTGCTTCACAGTACCTATTCTGAAAAACGTTCAAATGTCTTGTCCGGGTCTTGTCTTGGCTAGGTTCCTCCTTGGTTCCTACTTCGAAGTTTTCAGCTTAAGGTTCCCGTTCCTAACTTTTAACAAGAATATTTCTTAATGCATGGTGAGTTCAGGTTTATTTTGGAGGTAGAGAAGCAGTCTTTAGCAAACTGAGTAGCTATTTTATTGACAGTGAAATAAAAACGGCTTTCTGAAAATATTTGTTAAAAAGGAGCAACAAAATGCTTAATAAGGTTCTTTAGGGAATCCTTCCTACACTGCACGTGATTTGGTAACTGCTCTGATCACCATGGCAACATTTTCATTTGTCCTTCCGCATGTATGGTTTTAACTGGAACAGCAAGGGAGGGGAATATAGGGCATACAGCTTTATTCTCAAAGGCTTTGTAACAACTTGCATTTGTGGCTCATCATTAGCATTCCCATCTAAAATAACAAAATTGCCACAGCTTATTACAGTATTGCGAACAGCTTGCTTTCTGTTTCCAATTAGCGTCAGCATCTGAGGTTCTGAGATTGAAACATTTCACGGTAGTTTTGAGCATCGCTAGTTAGGAGAGCTGCAAAAATCCGGTATTATTTTTCAGAAGTGGTGAATGTGATTATCTTGGACTTCAGGTTTTTCTCCAAAATTTTTCCTGAATGAAAAGTGAAGGTGTTGGACCTCTTATGTTTTTAATAGCTGGCTCTCATATTTGTGGTTTCTTTCATCAGTTCATAACTTAATCAGGTAAAAAAAATCTGTATCTATTAAGATGCTTCATGCTTCTAGTTTCAAAAAAGAAAACAAGTGGAGTACCGTAAATTACACATTTATTTTAGCAGATGTCTATAATGTATCTGAAGAGGTTAAACTATATAAGCATAACTCCTTAGTGGAAAACAGGACAGCTTTCTCTAATATCATTGGGCCTTATTTACCAGTTCCTTGAATGAATATAAACTACTGGCAAATTACTAATTTGAAGGGGGGAAAAAAAGGGAGGGGGGGGAGGGGGGGCACACCTGGAAGATCAGCAGTTGAAATAATTGTAACAGCTTTGGATCACATAAGAATATATGACTTTATTCAAGAACACCATCAAAATACTGACTTTCTGAAGAGAATGGCATCTTTTTTTTTATGCCAGCTTGATCCGCAGATCAACATTAAAAGAATGTCTTTTCCTCCGGTCCCTCCAAACCATAAAACGTCTTCGTCGTCATATTTTTTGCTGCTTTGACCTTTGAGGTGGGTTAGGTAATCTGCCCTTGATAGTTGAGTTTCATGCTCAAACATCTTGCCTCAAACTGTACACAAAAATATCTGAAAATTCTTAGACGTTTTTCTAAAAATAAATCCATATTATATGATGAAGTATAGCACGATTTAAAAAAAAAAAAAAAGCCCTCCAAAATGTGGCTTTGTCTCACAGCAAGGTACCCTGTAGGCCGAAGCAATGAGTTTTTATTTTCATCAAACTGCCTGATTTGATTCTCACTAACTTCAGCGAGAACAAGACCAGGCCTGTTACCCTCCTGGCATTGTACTCTTCTCTCTCTCTGTTTTATTTCATATGCCATTAAGCTTGTCACTTTTTATTTCGGGCCCAGAAAATAATGCATGCTCGCTGCTGGCAGTGTGAGTTGGTGCTGTCATCTCATGCAATGAGAACTTCAGAAGTTGGGTTCAAGGAGTTTTTGACGTATTATTAGCAGTTCTTTCTTCATATCCTAGTGCTTGCTGCTCTGATGAAATGAGACTTCCCAATGGTGGACTAACGGTAAATTACAATGTATCAGTAGCACTTGTGGGGCCGGCTGTTCTGCATTCCTCACATTGATCTCCTTGGTTTACCTTGAATTTAAAATGTTATCATTTCAATACTGAAAACTATTTCTCTCCTCTCTATTACGTACAAAATTCCCCTTCCTTGCTTCCTACACCATGTATTAAATTAGTAGCAGGGTGCTTGGTTGGTGCTAATAGGCAAGATTTTTAAGCTAGCCCTTACAAAATTATGGTCAAAGGAGGGGAAAAAATGGAAGGAAGTTTAAATTAAGCTACTCTAGGTCACACCATAGATTAAAATAAATACAAACTTTGCTGTCAGTGACACAAAGGTAAATACAGGAGGTGTTGCCAGCTGAGTGATTCAGGAGGACATCGTAACAAAGAATTTTTGTAGTGACTTACAATAGGATCAGCTCCAGCAGAAGGAAAGAACACTTTAAGAACAACGGTCTGTAAAGGTGCATATTAAAGCCTGGAACTTTAATATAGCAGTCATTTATCCAGTTGGATTTCTGGTATCAAAGGAGTAACAAAAGGTGTACTTTGGGAGGACCCAATTATATAGTTTTTCCTATCTCTTCATTGTATAGGGGTAAAAATCTGTATACATAATTGTCCTAGATGATGACACAGTTACGGCTCTCCTTTGGGTCCTCATCAGAGTCTGGATTTGTTTCCTCAAGGAGACTAAAGAAAACTTGGGAGAGGAGTGGTTCCTAAGAAATAGAGGTTTCTTGTACTGAAAACTAACAATACTTCAAGTCATTAGACTGACTTAAATAGTACTGAAATGTGTGAAAAATAGTGGGCAAAATTACCAGAACAAGTGCTATATAAAATGTTACAGGCACCTGCATATTTAATCTTCAGGGAGAATGATATTTGGAATAAATATTGTACATTTGCATCTAATTGAATTCAGCTTTATCGCACTATTAAATTAAGTACAGCCATAAATACCAGAACTGGTATGGTAACGACTTTTCTCTCTGTTAGAGGAAGATGTATGTCTGAGTGTGTCAAGTACATTTACACCACTCGCACTGGTGAACAAACAAAACAAGCAGCTTTACCCTAAAATAAAGTCTTTCCCAAATTCCAAGTAGAAGTTGCACAGGATCGTCTATTACTGCCACCTACTGATAAAGTGATAAACAGCCGACTGAAACAGAAAAAAATATCAACGTCAACTAGAAATGACCCCAAAGGGGGATTTTAAATCAATACACGTGCTCTCAGAAACAGAGCGCCAGCCCTTCTGTTTTCATGGTCTGCATTGTGTAAGGTATCGCCCGTCACGGTGGTACTGCTGGGGTGTGATTCAACCCCACGCTTCAGTTCCAGACTTCTCAGTTTAGGAAAAGACGGAACTCAAATACATGATTTGGCTAAATAGGTCAGGTGACTAGCTAAAAAACACTTTAAAAGTTGTGGAAATCTGTGGGTGCATCAGTTGGAGTTGCTGTGAACTCCCTTCTTGAATTCCAGTTTCCCATGTAGCTCGGATGCCTGTTCCTCGTTGCCACCGTGCCACCAGTTGTGCCACCTCTTACACTTTTGCCTTTTGCTCCCTTGAGCAGGTGATGTGACTGTAAACGGCAGTAAGGCCTGGCTCTAGGGCCGAGCGGGCCCCCAGTGCAGTGAGCCACTAACAGTCTCTCCCGGTTGCCGTCCTCTTTGCAGGACTGTGCAGCAGCTTTCACGTGACTGACTGCTGCACCTTTCCTTCACACTCAAACTTTGCTCCTGGCTGCTGGGTTTTTTATTTCAGGGTGGTTTTTTCCCAATTATTGGAGTCTAGGCCAAATACTTCTTCGTGTGCCACAGCATAAGTATACAGCCAGAACAGAGCTTAGGCCACTCCACGCTTAGAATAGCATTTTACGGAAAATGCGCTAGGCATGGCATAAGGACGTGTTTCAAAAGACCACCCACTCCACAAAATCTACTTGTTGCATAGCCTCTCACTGTACCGTATCCTATCGTGCCTTCGAACTTCGGGCTGCATACTTGAGCCCTGTAGTCTTCATATAGCATGCTCTTAAGGGATGCGCAATTTTTTTCAGTGAAAGGAAGGAATGAGCCGAACTGTACAGAAAAGAACCACTGTGACTTTTTAAAAACCTTTCAAGTAGCAGTGACTTTGAAGATCTTTACAGTGTAACAGCCTCTCTCTGGCAAGTGTGGCTCACATGACTTCTGGCTGTAAAATTATCCTTAACTAACTTCCTTGTTGCAAAGACTGTTCATTACCACGGTTCTTGTAGTGCTGCTCATCTGAGAGGTTTCCCTCTGGAGAGCACACTGGCCTTTATCCTACTCATCAGAACACAACACGCAGATTTCCAATATATGTATCTGTCGTGCTGATATATGAATGTTAGTCATATCCTTAAAAGATTAAGTGAAAAAACTTCAGATGCTAAGATTCTCATGAAAAAATACCTAACAGAAACTTTGAGAACGTAAGGAATGTCATAAATAATAGCCTCTCTGATGCCTTTTCTTCTTTCCCAGACAGCCCGTGCAAGTTTTGTTCTGGGAGTTTGCTTCAGACTCTGGAAAATAACTATAGAGAGCAACTATGAAATACCTATTCATGAGAAATTAGAAGGCCATAAAAGTGATTATAGTTCTTTACAGTTCTGCCCATACCAGCTAAACAAATACTTGCAACAAGGATGTGAACACATTTGAGGATATTTAAACAGAATCTGAATAAATGCAAAAAATACATTAAAAGATCATTTAAAAAGCTAAGTTAAGCACCCATTTAAGAAAAGTCAGAGTTAAATTTGCTTATGCATCTTCTGTTTGCCTCTCTCATTTGTATGCACTACTATTCCAGATTGCTATTGCAGGAATTCCCACAAGGCACAGTATAGGCGATGCTCAGTTAATGAGCAGTTACTCAATACTATTTTGGTGTCTTTATTCATTGTGTAGCCTCGGGCCTGATTTACTCACAAATTTCTGCTTTCAGTGTAGAACTATTCCCCGATGAGCTTCTCTGTGGTGCTCATCACGGATTGCTTCACAAAGCATCTCCACAGTATCCTGGAGGAATGCGAGGGTGGAACTATTCCCATCTTACAGTGGGAAGCTGAGGCAGAGCCTGAATGGAACGGGTGAGATTGTCAGTACCTGCCTCTTCAGAGTACTTAGCTCTTTCAACATCTCAATGTTCCCATTTGCTCAAGCTTCAGCTACGAATCCCCAGCTCTACAAACTGGAGTGACTTTTGCAAGTCAAACGCCCAGAAACTAAGGGAAAAAAGCAACGTGAAATGTTTCGTTTCCTGATTGTCCTGGTATCGCACAGAGGCAATGACAGAACCCAGTTCTCCCGAGCAGCAATGACCCTTATCCTTGTAACAGTATTTCGTGGTCCCATCTCGTTCATCTTGCATCTTCTGCAACAAATGAAGCAGCCATCTGGTGCATCCTCCAGCAGAGCACGTCCATCCTAAAGCAGGGTAAGCACCATGAGGGGAAAATAGCACCAAGTCATGTAAAATTTTTTTAATGAAACGTAGTCTGAATATTATCTATCCGATGATAGATTATAATGAAATGAAAAATAATATGTGGCCAGTCTGCTTTGTAATCCCCCCAAGAGCTTAACTCTCTACCAGGCATGTGATTAAAAAGCATATTTGCTGTCATAGGCCTCAGCAGGACTTCCTATAAACCTTATTCTCTTCTGTACCTGCATCCTGAAGTCTTTGTGCCACTTGTTAAAAATAGCTGTATATTAGCTGCACATGAAGCAGCTAACCCCACCAGCTGGCTGTTGCCTGATTATTGGATATTTGGTGGTGTTCCACATCTCTACAAGACATTCCCCTGTTCGCGCTCTGAGATGTGCCTGTCAAGATTTACCATATAGGCGGTTTTGAGTCCATTTCTATTTTTGATTGTCATGAACACGACAAGGAGTCAACTAAGACTGTGAAATTTATTATTGCTGTATTGGTATGTTTGGATAACTGTGATGTCCTGCAAGCCGATTTTGTACGGTAGTTATCAACTCTTGTGCAGGTTAGGCTGAGTCTGATTAAAACAAAAATCCAACTGAACAACACCTTATTTCCAGAAGATGACAAGGATATTCTAATTTACCCCTCTCTAGAATAAGGGATGGTGACTTGGTCATCCACCATGATGCTCAAGTGACCACTTTGTGAGAGGACATGAAACTTGCAGCTCTACCTTTCTGTAAAGGAAAGTGAGTTGAGGAAAGTTGGGTTATCTTTGTCTGAATACGATGTCAGAGCTGTTTTGGTTCCTAGGTTCTTGCAATGCCAGTGAAAGGAAGACCCTACAGAATATTCTTGGACCTCAGAGAAGTCAGTCTAAACTGTGGCTTCTGCCACGAATCAGAGCCATGTGCCAAAACCGTTAAAACTTCTGCACAGAAAACATGAGGGAAGAAGAGCAAGTTACAACAGTTTTGCTGACCTAATTCAGGAAAACTTAAAGCCACTGCTCCAAACAGACATGAGGATGCAAAAACTTCATTTAAAACAATGGTCAGCAAAAGAATAGACAAATAATTTTAGACAAAGCAAGAATATTTTTTTCTTATTCTTAGTTAACTTCCTTAACTGGAAGTTAATTTGGAAAAACTGACTGGAAAAATTATGGAGAAGATTATACTGGGTACTATTGAAAGGCATTTAAAGAATAATGCAATCATCAGGCACAGTCAACATGGGTTCACAAAGGGAAAGTCCTGTTTAACTAATTGGATATCCTTCTATGATAAGGTCACCTGCCCAGTGGATGAAGGGAAGGCGGTGGATGTAGTTTTTCTGGGTTTTATTAAGGCTTTTGATACTGTTCCTCACAGCATTCTTCTGGACAAGCTGTCCAGCTGTGGGATGAGCGGGTTCAGGGTGCACTGGGTGAAGAACTGGCTGAAGGGCGGGGTTCAAAGGGTTGTAGCGAACGGGCCTACATCTGGCTGGCAACCGGTCACCAGCAGTGTTCCTCAGGGTTCAATTCTAGGGCCAGTTCTGGTCAATGTATTTATCGATGATCTGGATGCAGCAGTTGAATGCACCGTTAGCAAGTTTGCCGATGATACCAAACTGGGAGGTGCTGTTGACTCTCTTGAGGGACAAGA